ACAGTCAGTCCACTAAAGAGAGAAGATGGCAAGGAAGTAACAGGCAACAGAGAGAAAGCAGAACTGCTTAACTCATTCTTTGCATCCGTCTTCACGCAAAAAGAAACTATAGCTCAACCCACCAAAACCAGAACTGTAAAAGACAGACCAGAAATAAAAGTTAAAATAAGCAAAAAAAAAAAAATAGTAAGAGAACACCTGTCTTGATCTTGATGAAAACAAATTCCCGGTGATTTGTTTTCATCAAGATCAGATTACATCCCAGAGTTTTAAAGGAGCTGGCAGAGGTCATCTCAGAACCACTGCACCATATCTTTCAAAAATCCTGGAGCACCAAAGGACTGGAAAAGAGCTGACGTGGTTCCCATCTTCAAAAAAGGAAAAAAAACAGACCCAGGAAACTAGACCAATCAGCCCAACATCAATACCCAGGAAGATACTGGAAAAGATAATAAAAAAACAGATCTGCCAACATCTAGAAACAAGTAAAGTAATAACTAGCAGTCAGCACGGGTTTGTTAAAAACAGATCATGCCAAACCAATCTTATTTCATTCTTCAACACAGTGACTAAATTAGTAGACCAGCAAAATACTGTGGACATAATATATTTAGATTTCAGCAAGGCATTCAACAAAGTAGACCACAACCTACTTCTTAGTAAGCAAGAAAAAGTGGAATAGATAGCACCACCACTAGATGGATTCCTAACTGGCTGGCAAACTGTACTCAATGAGTAGTCCTTAATGGGTCTAAGTCTACATGGAGGGAAGTAAGCAGTGGGGTGCCACAAGGTTCTGTCTTAGGCTCAGTACTCTTCAATATCTTCATTAACGACTTAGATGAGGGAATAGAAGGGGAACTTACCAAATTTGCAGGTGATACTAAGCTGGCAGGAATAGCTAACACCCAAGAAGATAGGCTCAAGATCCAGATGGATCTTTACAGACTAGAACACTGGGCCGTATCTAATAAAATGAAATTCAATATAGAGAAAAGTAAAGTCCTACACTTAGGCAAAAAAACCCAAAAGTACACATATAGACTAGGTGAAACCAGGCTCAATAGCAGTAACTGTGAGAGGGATCTTGGAGTCTTAGTGGACAACCAGATAAATATGAGCCAGCAGTGTGCAGCAGCAGCCAAAAAAGCTAATGCAATCCTAAATTGTATTAACAGAGGGATACAGTTAAGATCAAGGGAAGTACTAATACCACTCTATTAAGCCTTAGTAAGACCACACCTAGAGTACTGCATCCAGTTTTGCTCACCACATTATAAAAAAGACGTTGAGATTCTAGAAAAAGTACAGAGAAGAGCAACCAGGATGATTAGGGGACTGGAGGCTAAAACATACAACGAACGGTTGCAGGAACTGGGCTTGGCTAGTCTAGTAAAGAGAAGGACCAGGGGAGACATGATAGCGGTCTTCCAATATCTGAGGGGCTGCCACAGGGAGGAAGGGGTCAAGCTATTTTCTAAAGCGCCTGTAGGCCAGACAAGGAATAATGGATGGAAACTGAACAAGGAGAGATTTAACCTGGAAATAAGGAGAAACTTTCTGACAGTGAGAACAATCAACCAATGGAACAGCTTGCCCTCGGAAGTTGTGGGAGCGCCATCACTTGAGACTTTCAAGAAGAGATTGGACTGCCATTTGTCAGAAATGGTGTAGGGTCTCCCGCTTGGGTGGGGGGTTGGACCAGATGACCTTCAAGGTCCCTTCCAACTCTGATTATCTGTTATCTGTTAAAGGGCCACAGGCTGGTTTCAAATTTCTCCTTTGATATTTGAATTGAAAGTGAAAATCTTATACATCTTTACAGATGCATTCCTCTAAGTCAGGAGTGTCAAATTCACTTGGTCACAGCAGAATCATGTGATGTATCTGGACTTTTTTCCCTTTTGCTAAACCGGGCATGGGAGTGGCCCAGTTGTGGGATTCAAACATTTTTTACTACTGGTTCTGTGGGATGATGGGTTTGGTGTGGTGGGCATGGCTTGGTGAGCGTGGCAGGGGAAGGATCCTGCAAAATCCCATTCCCACTCCATACCACTAACCTGCTTTCCAGCTCTGTTCTCCTGTGCAGGGTAACAAAAGAAGACCCAGCCAATCAACTGGGACTCGGAAGGCAGAGAATAGATGGGAGTGAGGCCAGCCAGAGGTATTTGCCGGTCCTTCAAACTACTCAAAATTTCCACTACTGGTTGTCCAGAACTGGTCAGAACCTGCTAAATACCATCTCTGTTGTGGCCGGCGCATGATGCATCTGGCCTGCAGGCCGGAAGTTTGACAGCCCTGTTCTAAGTTAAAAAAAAACAGTTTGCTAGGAGCCTGTGTTTCTTCATCCTCTTTTCCTTTGAACTAGCTAGACTTGTCACTTTTTCCTTAAAAACCATGCTGTTTTTAAAAGTACAAGTTCCAAATCATTAAACAAAATCTTGTCACACATCAGCAAAGGAATCTGAACAGGAAGAGCAATGGGAATCCCCATTCAGGGCATGGCTGATTTATGTGTCAGGTGAAAAGGGCTCTGCTTTGCTCACTGTGAAGTGAGCCTTGATTTAAGTGAAGTCTTTATTTAACTTTTATAATGAATTGTAAATTTTTCCAGTGAGATTCCCCTATTTCATATGTGAAAAAAAAAAGACAGATGTTTATCCAAATTACACAAGGTGACTAATTTAGAGGGCCAGAGTTCTCCAAAGCTGAGTTAATTTTGCACCATCAGCTGATAAGTCATGTGAATAATTAAGTCACTAGAGGAATGTTCCACCTATTTTTTCACATGACAGTGTCTCATGTCAATAAAACTGCTGTTGCTGCTGCTTTAGTTCCAGAATCTGGAACAGAAGTATGCAACTTTTTCTTGGTCAAAAGCCAAATTTGTCCTTTGTCCCCCCTCCTGGGACCTGCTTCCAGACAGCCACGATTTGAGGCCAAGACAAAAATGGAATCTGACATGATTTTCTTCATATTTATAGTCAGTAAGCTAAACATAGTTTACATGATTATCTTCCAGTCAAGGATATAATAGTCTTTTCTTTTTGTCTTATAAAAATTATATTTTGTAAAACGTTGAAATCTCTTAGAACCCCACTTGAAGCTTTTGGGACTGTCTGAGATTGGCCCTCAATTCTGGTCTATGACAGCAATCAGAATATTCATAGCTTTCTTCATTTCATAGACATCTTGAAACACCTTAATCTTGTGTCAGAGGGTTTTCCCCTTATGACAACTTGTAAAAGACATAAATTCACATACAATTTGCACTTGCTGATTTGTATGTGTACACGTAAATCTTAAAAGTATAAAAAAAACTATACTGAAAGCTATTTTTGTTGGGATGTTGTGGACTATTGAAGGCAAAAAAGAGAAGGGGACAGGTTAGTGATAAATTAATGTCATTGACTCATGAACATGAATTTGGGCAAATTCCAGTAGACAGTGGAGAACAAGAAAGTGGTCGGACATGCTATGGTCCTTGGAGTCACAAAGAGTTGGACGCAACTTAGCGATTGAACAACAACAAAGAAAGCTAACAGATCTCAGTATAACAAGATACTGTATGCCTTCTCAGTCTATTTCCTAAATCAAGGATGAGTAACCTCTGGGTCCTGAAATCTCTTTGTGAGGCCACTGGAAACCATCTCACCATGAGTCTTGGAAACTGAAGGCACATTTTCTCACAATTTGAAATTAGGAAACACTGAAAAATTATACTTAAAGTCTTAACTTTAAGTTAGCAAAATAAAGGAGATAAGCTTCTCTTCAATTTTTTGATCCTGGTCCTGACCTTTAAATTGCACTTAGACTAAATAGACATTCAAACAGGTCATTACTGACACTTCTTCAAATTAATTGTCCTGTATTAGGTAGAACAAATTATCACAGCCTTACCTTCTTGGTTAGCTTATATTTTTCCTGTTATACAAGAATCTGTCCTGCTTTTATTTCTAAGCAAAAACAAAAGAGAATTACTATACTGCCTGAAACCAGAGTTGAATTTAGAAGCATTAGGTCAGCCAAGATGGTTCCCCACGACCAGAAAAAATTATCTTGGCATCAGTTCACCACATGAGAAAAAGAGAAAGACTTGGTGTTCAGTTTCCACTCACTTCCTTGCTGTAACTCATACAGAAAATGGATCAGGTGTAAAGATTATTTAGTCTAAACACAGTTTGGGCTGGTCTAAGACTGATCCCCAGCAAGCAATTTGAGCATGAAGCAGAGGTGGTATTCAGAAGGTTCTGACCAGTTCTGGAGAACCTAGCAGAAATTTTGAGTAGTTTGTAGAACCGGCAAATACCACCTCTGACTGGAGATTTTACAGTATCCTTCCCCTGCCACGCCCACCAAGTCACACCCACCAAGCCATGTCACACCCACCAATTCACGCCCACAGAACCAGTAGTAAATTTTTCACTGGCATGAAGCTATAGTACATGGTATAGTATATGGTGTTCATGCAGCTGAATACAGTGCTTTGGACTGGCTGTTCTTCTTGATTGCTCCTCTCCTCTCTTTAGGACCCATACCTGTCTATTCTGTTTTAAGTCCAAGGTTATTTTCTTTTCTTCTTTTCTTAAATCACATTTCAAATCTATGGCCCAGGGATTCATAGCTTAGTAGCTCTAGGTACCAGTCACCCTAAGAATATTTCCTTTAGTATCCCACTATGTTTCCTGTGCCTAACTTGTTAAAAAAGATTCCATAAATAAATGGAAAGCTGTCATGTTATCTAGTTTGAAAATGTGCTCATCTGTCCAGAAAAATAAAAAAGGAGAGAATTGAGGGATCAGAACATCCTATGGGATTATATGAATCAAACTCATTAAATTTGTTTTCTGGAAAATGAGCGTTTTTTGAGTTACCTTGCCATGCCAGTTTCCATCGCAGTCATTATGTAAGGTGCTCTCAACATTTTATACATTTACAATCAACCCCACAATTATTTTTTGGTACTAAGGAATATTTAAAGCAAATTTAAATCTTTTGAATGGGAATTTAATGGCAAAGTTGACAATGATAGAAAACAAGCATATCTGGGAGGAGGAATGTCCTCAGACAACACATGGTTTATATTATAAACTCACACAATAATGCAGAATTATTTGAAGAGATACAGACAATTCATACAAGTAGCCACATCACTTCTAGACCCTGAGTACAAAAGGTTATCTTGTGGCCTTCTAAACTGCTTTATCAGACTGATATAAGAGGACTGAAGAGAGACTATCTGGGTGACTAAAGCTTTTCCACTCCAAAGTCTTTGTTAACATGGTTTCTATTACCTTAAAATACACAGTATAAATCAAGAAAATAAATACATTTCTGAAGGTCTTCTTAGAGCACAGATCTTACGAAATGCTATGATAAAGATGACATACTTCTCAATATCAGATTTAAAAGAAATCATACATAACTGGAAGGTACATTTTTTGTGTGGCAGAAAAGGCCTCTTACACTGAGATGACAATATATCAGTCCAGCAGAGCTACCTAACAAAACTACCTATTGATTTCAGGCTCTGCCAGAGCAGTTCAGCATCCTAACTGATCAATGGTAAGCCAAACAGCTGCCAAAATTAGATGCCAAACAAAATAGGCAAACAGGCAAATAGATATAGGTATTCCTTGATTAATAACAGTAAATGGGACTGAAATTTCTTTCACTAAATGTGACATCATGTGACAGCAATCCTGGCACTTCCCCATCATTATTGTTTGGTGAGGATTGCAGCTTGCTAAGCGAGTCCCAGGAGACTCACAAGCAGACCAACAGGTAGGTAAGTAGCTTCCCAGAAGGGGAGGCTACTTACCTATGTAAGTAGCCCACAAGGCACAGTGAAAGTGCAGGATGGCTGCTGGGTGGGGAATGGTGAGTGGGAAGCAGGTGTGAGAAGAGTGCAAACATGCAAAGACCACAGTGACTTACCACCTTTCCCATTGATTTTGCTTGTGGGAAGCCAACAAGGAAAGTTCCAATTGGGACCACGTGACTATGAGATGCATCATAAGTGCAAACAAGTTGCCAAATGCCCAGATCACTATCAAAACTTCAAGGACCAGTTGCAAGTACAATTCATTCAGTACCATCACAACTTTGTATTATTGCTGAACGAGACTCGTATGAGAAAACCATCATCCTTACGTTAGTTCAGCTTCTCAGGGCCAGGTTGTGTCTCTTGCTTTGTATTATTGTGGAGAGCTTTGAAGAGCCACATTCTGTATCCAGAGCAAAATTTACAGAGGACCAACAATAGAAGACAACAATGATTCCTCAAATCAACTGTTTTTTCATAGCCCCTGTTATAACAATGAGGAATCGTATGACAGCTTAAAGACATAGATAAATGAAGTGGTCTGTGATTCGTGAAAACATTTGTTATAATAATGTTCTTTTTCTTTGCCCTCTCCATTCTTGTCATTTCTTATGCTGTTGCTTTCCTTCTTCATCCAGGTATAAAGGTGGGTTACCTTATGCAGAGTTAGACTCTGGCACACACCCCTAATCTGACTGTCAACAGTTCTCCTTGGTTTTTAACAGGTATCATTGTCAGTCCTATATAGAAGGCTTGACATGCAAAAGTAAAGCTTCTACTTTGGGCATATAGTTCTTCTCCTTTGAGAAGTAAATTACTGGTGCAAAATTGCTTTCTGATACACTCCTAAGAATGAATTTATGAACGATAATGGAGATAGAGGAGACATGGAATGAAAACATTTCTACATTAATTTATGGCCAGACTCTTGACTGTCAATTGTGTATTCATGGCAAATATTTTGTACCAGGAAATATAAAGATGGGTTTGAATTGGCTGTGATACAATGTGTGCAAATAGAGAATATAACAAAGACATAGAAAAAATATGAGAGATGGCCTGTCAGATTTTTTTGTTGTTAATTTCAGTAGGTACTATATTGATACACTGAGATTTTACGTAAGTGCACAGACATCTACAGCCTCCCACGTCAGTTTACCATTGGATGGCATTGTAGGGCATCTCAGGCGGGATATGTGAGAATCTAAATACTCTGAGCTACTTAATTCATTATTATTTTTTTGTTCTACTAAAGGGAAATCCAATCAATTTGGATTTTCTGTGATGACCATCAAAATTGACTTGCACCCTTTCTATTATACACTGAGGCAATGATGCTACAATGTCTAACAATTTGCCAGGAGGTCCATAACTTCAAGACCATTTACTTTGTGCCAGGGAATCTGGCTGTCAACTATGGCTCGAGGCTCATGATTTAATTAGGGAGATCGCCAGAACCCTGACAGCGGCATCAACACCATCCATTTATGGTTTGAGGCTCCAAACTATTATTCAAGGGTTGTTGCTGTTTTCCTTCCAAAAATGAACTTTCCTTGGGTATTCCATTTATGACTGCATATGAATTCTGTCAAGTGAATGCCCCAGAGGAGGGTTGCATATGCTATCCATGTCACCACCCAGAGCAGAAACTGTATTTTGGAGAGTTTCTGCTGCTGGAAGAGATGATTTGGAAGAAGAAACTTCTAAACCAAGTTTGCTTCAAGAGAGTAGCCTTGCTGCTACAAGGCATCTGTGTCCTTGATAACTGGAACTGGTGACTCTTCTCCACTAAGTTGTTTATAAATAAAGCAGAAAGTCAGCCTGGGCTCTTTATTCAGCAGATGGGATTTGATCTGATGAGGGAGGGCGTCATCATCCATCTGCATAGTTTTGTTATCAACTTGGACAAACAGCCCATAGTCCTGGGGCTCTGAGACTTCAAATTTCTCAGCGCACTGCTGAATCAGCTGGTGAGTTGTGGAATTGGTCTGATATGCCAGGGTCCTTGCTTTGGCCTCGGCCTCCATAAAAGAAATTGCAATGAAATCCTGGAAAAAAGGAAGATCACTTTTGAAATAACATCAATACTCATCCTGACTCTATTAAAATGCAACTCTATTTATGCATACAATTCCTGTCAGGCTTTTTTTCCCACCAAAAATTGGAATACAATTCATTAAAAACTAACAAACTGCTTTTAATAAATTTCTAAAAGTTATGTTGGAAGAAATATCCTTCTGGGTTCAGCTCCAAGTGGGGAAAAAGACACTGGAAACTTGGAGGCTGTTTGGAAGGTTTAATGGTGAACAGGACCACATGGCCTGGAGCTCCAGAATGAAAAGGAAGGATGATCACATGCTTCAAGGTGAAGGAAGAGATCAAGAAAGGGCTGAGGTGCTGAGAGTGCCTGGGTTTTATAACCTTTGTTGGGATTTGAATTTGAGCTTGTATTCTGATTGGTTGTCAGACTCCCATGAAGGGGCAACTCTCTAGGCTGTCCTCTGTAAGCAGGGGCAACTCTGTAGGCTGTCCTGAGTTCCAGGCTTGGTTGAGCCTTGCTGGATGATGATGCACTGAAAGAGCTTTTGAGCAATTGCTATAGCTTTACCTGGAGATCTTTGTTATGTAAAGTATTCTGGCCCAGGCCTTAATGGCCCACCTATTAACAAAGGTGGGGGTGAGCTTCTGCTTCTGAGGTGAGTTTCTCCTTCTGAGTTTCTACTCTTTTTAGAGGAAATATTCTGCCTTTTTAATATTTCCTAGGATATTTCAATTTTCTAGGAGAGGTGTGGGTGCTAACTTCCTACAGTTAAAACAGAAATGATACTATGGTAAAAATGTGATTTTAAAGGTTTAAAAATGTGGAAGAAAACATTACAATGTGGGTCAAGTATAAAAGAGTAGATACTGCAGAGCTTCAGCACTATTAGCTTTAGTACAAGCCTGGATCAAGATAGTTAAGTAATTGAAAGTCAGGTCCTATAAAGACATGTGGAAGGAGTTCATGATTTTTAGTTATATGATCTGAGGAAGGAGAGAGTCTGTTGGATGTCCTCAAAAAGGTTAAAGATTCTCACGTGTTCTAAACTTTAATTAAACCAATTGTTGGAAGAAATATCCTTCTGGGTTCAGTTCCAAGTGGGGGAAAAGACACTAGATTCATGGAAGTTACTTGGAAAGAAGGTTTAATGGTGGACAGGACCACATGCCTCGGAGCCCCTGGGCGAAAAAGGGAAGAGATGGTGAGAATCCCTTGGTTTTACACCCTCTGTTGGACCACACCTTAGTGTTTCCTGTTCCTGTGCGAGAAATGTATCCCATTGGCTGTCAGACTCCCAGGGGCGGGGGGGTCTTAGCTAACTTTGTAGGCTTTGTCTGGACCACATGGCTTCACTTGAGTGCTGGCTAATGCAATCTTCTCAGATGCCATATGGTGAGATGGGTAATCCTATCATGTCCTGAGGGCCACGTCTTAATCCCATCGCCCTGGAGCTGAAGTGGGGGCAGGGAACTGCAGGAAGCTGCTTTGTCTTTAAAACATGTTTCTCCTTTTCTCATCCAGGGAAATATAATATTCTGTCTTTTCAATATTTACTAGAATATTTCATTCTTCTAGGAGAGGGGTGGGTGCTAACTTTCTACACAAGTAATGAATGCTTTCCATGCAGAAGGCCCTAGATTTAATTCTACTTCTGACAGGGCTGAAAAAAATGTCTTGCCTGAAACTATGAAGCAGGAATTATTTTTCAGGAAAGCAGCCAAAAAGTATACAGGTAGTCCTCAACTTACAACAGTTCATTTAGTGACTGATAAAAGTTACAACGGCACTGAAAAGGGACTTACAACCATTTTGTATGCTTTTGACTCAGTGGTGGGATTCAACATTTTTTACTACTGGTTCTGTGGGCGTGGCTTGGTGGGCGTGGCAGGGGAAGGATACTATAAAATCTCCATTCCCTCCCCACTCCTGGGGGAAGGTTACTGCAAAATCCCATTTCCTTCAGATCCCACTAACCTGCTTTCCAGCTCCATTCTCCTGCGCAGGGCAACAAAAGAAGACCCAGCCGATCAGCTAGGACTTGGGAGGCAGAGGATAGATGGGGGGTGGGGCCAGTCAAAGGTGGCATTTGCCGGTTCTCCGAACTACTCAAAATTTCCACTACCAGTTCTCCAGAACTGGTCAGAACCTGCTGAATACCACCTCTGTTATGACTGTTGCAACATCCCCATGGTCGCATGATCAAAATTCAGACATAGTTCATAGTTAGGACAGTTGCTGTGTCTGATGTCACGTGGTCGCCTTTTGCGACCTTCTGACAAGCAAAGTCAAAGCCAGACTCAATTAGCAACCTGTTACTAACTTAACAACTCCAGTGATTCACTTAACAAATGTGGCAAGAAAGGTCATAAAATGCAGCAAAACTCACTTACAATTGTCTTGCTTAGCAATAGAAATTTTGACTTCAATTGTGATCATAAGTCAACTACTTACTGTGTGGTCTTATTGTAGCTTTTTAAATATAAAGTTTTATATATATTTGACAATTTAACATTTGTTAAAGTTAGGAGAAAAATATTTTAAGAACATTGGCACTTTAGAGTGTTGATTAAGGACTTTATTAATATTATCTGTTTAAATTTAGGGAAAGGTTGCTATATGGTTATTTTCTCTGAACTAAAAGAAAGCTTATTTTTATTTGATTTGATTTGTCAATTGCTTACAAGATAATAGGTATAAGTATAAACATGAGTAAGAATACAGCAAATAGGTACGAATAAATGGGGACAATAGGACAGGGACCGTAGGTTGAAGATCATATTTGTTAAAAATTTGGTTGCTGTATTTTTTTTCTTTCACTTTTATTTTGTATTATTATTTCATTCTCCCTTCTCCTTTTTATGTTAGATTGTATTTTAATGTTTGATCTTGAAATTTAATATTTAACACGGGGGAATAAAAGGAGCTGCTACTCAGGGTAGACAATGCATAGCAAGATAGGCAAACAGTCTTCAGCCTGGGATAAAACCCTTTGTTTTGATCAAATTCCTCATAGCTTGAAAAGATTTGAGATTCAGAAGGCAACTTTTGATTGTAATATCTGAAGAACTATTTATTTACAATGTGTACAAATAGCACAAAAACAAGATACTCCCGGGATATAGACATGCAAAGCTTGTTATTTGGGGGGAAAATAGTGTTTGCTGCCACCTTGTGGTTGAAAGGCAGGAAATCTTAAATGCTAAATTGCATATTAGGGCAGCTCAAAAGTTACAAATAGGTGGCACTGAGTCAGGTTTCAAAATGGTTGCACCATCATATGCCCACTATCATTGCCTGTTGTTTTTTTTAAACAACAACATGTAAACTATTCTAAGGACTTTTGATCAATTGCCTTGATGGTATTCATCAGCCTTATCTATTGTTTTTCCAGGCTGTGCAGTGCCTTGGTTTCAAAGGCAAAAAGGCATTTCAGACCATACGGTTGATGCTCATATAAGACTGTACTAAACTCCTTCAAAGCAGTGCCATCTTTACCCAGAATTGGGTACAGCTACTGTACTTTTCCACCTGCAGTATCATCCCAGGAAAAGATGCATTTGATTTAAAGAGTTGATGACAGATCTAACACAGACTTTAACAGGATAACAGAATGACAGAAAAAAAAGAAGGGACCTTAGAGTTCTTTTAGTTCAACCCCCTGCTTGAGCAAGGAGACCCTATGCTATTCCATCCAAATGGTCATCCAAACTCTTTTTAAAAATTTCCAATGTTGGAGTAACCAGTGTCTCTGGAGTCAAGCTGTCTCAATAATTAATTGTTCCTACTGTTAGGGAATTTCTCCTTGATTCTCGGTTGGATTTTTTCCCCATAATGTTCCATCCATTACTTCTTGTCCTGCCCTCAGGTGTCTTGGTCAACAGGTTGACTCCCTCTTCTCAGCCCCTTAAATATTGGAAGACTGCTATCATGACATCCCTAATCCTTCTCTTAGTTAGACTAAACATACCTAGTTGCTGCAATCATTCATCGTACAGTTTCTCCTTGAGATCTCTAATCATCTTTGCTCCTTGTCTTTTCTACAGTCTCAATATCTATTTGCCTTCAGATCAAAAGAACATTGGGGCCCCATTGTTCCCTTTTTATTCCTAGTTCACCATGATCTCTTTTTTCTAGCCTATCATCTTGCCCATTGTATACCTAAAGTGGACAGATTTCTTTCTGTTGATCATTGCCTTGAGGACAGCAGCTTTTATTTGACCCATGACTCATTGATTGACTGCTTGCAGTCTGTATTTTCTTAGGAACCATCTTCCCCTCCATTATTCAAAAGAAACACCCATCCTTTTCTTTGACAAATTTTCAATGCCAGTCTTCATTTTATTTTATTTATTAAATGTATATGCTGTCCATCTCATTGTACAAAGCAACTCTGGGTAACTACATATTACTATAGAATTGTTCTAATTATTCTAACTTTCGTTGTCACTGAAGTATCCTTATCCTTATCTTTCACAATGTAATCTAAGTTTGGCATTGTCTTCCTCCAGTTTTAAAACTATACTTATCTTTTTCTAATCGCACATTCCTTAATATATGTTCAATGTATAGGTTGAATAAATCAAGGGAGTGTATACTGTACAGTCATATCACACTCCTTTGCCAATCTGGAGCCAATTTCTTTCAACATGTTCTGTCCATAGTGTGCTTCCTGGCCTGTATATAAGTTTAACATGAGGACCATAAGTTATTCTTTGATTCCCATTTTTCTGGGCACTTTCCACAGCTTGATGTGATTGACACAATCAAAGGCCTTTCTATAATCAATGAAGCACACAATGACTTGTTCTTGGTACTTTTTTCATCAACTATCCAGCATGCATCGGCAAGAGTGCCTTACATTCCTTGGCTTTTTCTAAAACCAGCTTGAACATCTGGCATCTCTTTTTCCACACAGGGCTCTAATCTGCTCTAATCCTAAGCATTATTTTGCTACCATGTGGAGTTAAGGATATTGTACAATAGTTTGCACATTCTGTTAAGTCTTCTCTCTCTTTTTGGAAATAGGATACAGATTGACCTATCTTCCAATCCGCTGGGCATTCTTGTTCTCCAGGTATGTTGGTATAGCTTGGTTTAGAACCTTCACTGATTGTTCTTTTTCTGCATGCCATCTTTCAGCTGGCATTCTATCAGCTCCTGTAGTCTTTCTGCTTTGGTAATGACCAGACTGCTGTTCTAACTTGACCTTCTAGTACTAGTGATAGTTCTTTATTTATTTTTATTTATTTATTTATTTAATTGATTTGCCAATTGTTTACAATTGTTTACAAGATAATAAGTATAAGTGTATACATAGTTATGAATACATGAAATGGGTACATATAAGAAAAATAAAAGAATAAGAGAAACAATAGGACAGGGATGGTAGGCACGTTGGTGCGCTTATGCACGCCCCCTACAGGAAAGGGGTGAGGTCAATAGTAGACAGTCTAAGGTTAAAGTTTTTGGGGTTTGGGGAAGAAACTACAGAGTCGGGTAGAGTATTCCAGACATTGACCACTCTATTGCTGAAGTCGTATTTCCTGCAATCAAGTTTGGTGCGGTTTACTTTGAGTTTGTATCTATTGTGTGCTCTTGTGTTGTTATGGTTGAAGCTGAAGTATTCACTGACAGGTAGGACATTGCAATGTATGATTTTATATACCATGCTTAAGTCAGACCGAAGACGGCATAATTCAAGGTTTTCTAGTTCTAGAATTTCAAGTCTGGTGGCATTAAATAAGGGATATCTGCTGAAATATCTTGGAGTGTGACATCTTTACTGTATAGTCCTTTATTATACTCCTTTCATCTTCCTTTGATCTCCTTTGACTTGGTTACTATCAGCCCACTGACTTAGTTCACGGTGTGCTAAACCTTTTTCTGAATTCAAAGATCTTTAGAAATGTAATCACTGAACCGGTAGTAACATCAGTTGAATCCCACCCCTGGTTGTTGTTGTGGAAAAAGCAGGACGATGAAGGTGTGTTGAATATGTTCATCAACTTGAGTCATTTATAAAAATAATAAAGGCGGGACACAAATAAATGAATAAAAAAATTAGAAAATAACCTCTTCAGTTTAAAAGAGTCATAGTGGTACAGTGGTTAGAATGCAGCATTACAGGGTAATTCTGCTGACTCCCAGGAGTTCGATTCTGACCGGCTCAAGGTTGACTCAGCCTTCCACCCTTCCAAAATTGGTAAAATGAGGATCCAGATTATTGGTGGTGATATGCTGACTCTGTAAACTGCTTTGCAAGGGCTGTAAAGGGCTGTGAAGCGGTATATAACTCTAAGTGCTATTGCTATTAAACTGATTAAACTGTCAGGAGTGGTTTCTTAGAGGTTTTCTAATAAAGCGAAGCTTACTATAAGAATCAGAATAGAATAGAGTTAGAAGGGACCTTGGATTCTTCTAGTCCAATCCCCTGCGCAGACAGGAGACCCTATACCATTTCAGACAAGTGGCTGTCCAATCTTTTCTTAAAAACTTGCAGTGATCAAGTACACACCACTTCTGAAGGCAAGCTGTTTCACTGGTTAACTGTTAGGAAGTTTCTCCTTAGTTCCTGATTGCTTCTCCCATTATTTCTTTTCCTGTCCTCTGGAAAATAAATTGACCTCTCTTCTTTGTGGCAGTCCCCCAAATCCTGGAATTGTCAGCTAAAAAGATACTCCTTTGGTTTTTTTAGCTGCCAGAAAAAGGGAGTGTGGGAAAACAAGGCATTCTTGAAATGCCTAGATATCAACCCAGCAGCCTAAAGTTGTTGGAGCATAAGAAAGTTATTGGAGGGCATGATAGATGACTCTTGGAGACTGATGTGTCCTATTGGAGAAGTCACATCCAGAGGGTGAGGGAAAGACCAGGGTCAAGGGGGAAATGTATGATGTGATTTAGTACCGGCTGTATCCAGCCATGTACCAACATGGCAATTTCTATTCAACCAATTTATTTTTTCTGAGATGCAGCTAGAGACTTTTGCTTTGGATGAGGGGGGTTTGTTGGAGCCCTGACAGGAATACTGCTATCATGTCACCCCTAGTCCTTCTTTTCTCTAGAGTGCTTACTGGGTGGTGATCAGAAAAAGGATCTTCTTAGTGATGGCACCCTACTGATAATTCATTCTTATCCATCCAGCACAAAGTAGAAATGCTCAATAGCAGTAACTGTGAGAGGGATCTTGGAGTCTTAGTGGACAACCAGCTAAATATGAGCCAGCAGTGTGGAGCAGCAGCCAAAAAAGCTAATGCAATCCTAAGTTGCATGGACAGAGGGATACAGTTAAGATCAAGGGAAGTACTAATACCACTCTATTAAGCCTTAGTAAGACCACACCTGGAGGACTGCATCCAGTTTTGATCACCACATTATAAAAAAGATGTTGAGACTCTAGAAAAAGTACAGAGAAGAGCAACCAGGATGATTAGGGGACTGGAGACTAAAAAATATGAAGAACGGTTACAGGAACTGGGCCTGGCTAGTCTAGTGAAGAGAAGGACCAGGGGAGACATGATAGTGGTCTTCCAATATTTGAGGGGCTGCCACAGAGAGGAAGGGGTCAATCTATTTTCTAAAGTGCCTGTAAGCCAGACAAGGAATAATGGATGGAAACTGAACAAGGAGAGATTTAACCTGGAAATAAGGAGAAACTTTCTGACAGTGAGAACAATCAACCACTGGAACAGCTTGCCTTTGGAAGTTGTGAGAGCGTCATCACGTGAAACTTTCAAGAAGAGATTGGACTCCCATTTGTCAGAAATGGTGTAGGGTCTCCCGCTTCGGCGGGGGGATTGAACTAGATGACCTACAAGGTCCCTTCCAACTCTGATTATCTGTAAGGACAAAGGTTTAAATCTGCTTTTATTCTCCCAAGCTTTAAAAATAGTTATAATAAAAATCCTCTTGTTCATTATATGGTAACTAGGCAGTGGTGCAATTCAACTGGTGTAACAACTGGTTCAGTGAGTGTGCGCTTTGTGCACATGTTCTAAATTTTAAAAAGCCCATTTTCAACTCAATTACTTACCTTCTACTGCAGCCCCAGTGACTAAAACAGTTGAGGCACGGTAAACCACTGTGCCGCGTGAATCAGCTGTGCTAAAAAACCAGGAAATAAAGCACAGGAAAGAGCAGAGGCGGGTGGGCGGAGCCAAATATTCACCAGAACTACTGATTCGCCCGAACCGGTCCTAACCGGTAGAATCCCACCACTGTATCTAGGTACTTAATTTGAGTCTTATTTATTTTCCAAAACTCTGCTTATTAGGTCTTATGCCTTACAAAATTGTTAAGAAGAATATTATCAACTCTTTCTGCTTTTAAACTCTACTGGAAACTTTGCACAAGAAAGATATGCCGTTCTTTTAAAGCCGACTGAGATGATCAATGCATAAAATGAAAGATCCATGCTTTCCAAACCTGAACAGATGATCGAGATGCCCGGGCTTTGTTAAGTGTTCTTCGTCTCTCCCATTGGTGGATCGAATCTTGAACTTCAGTGCTTAGCTGTCGAGTGCCTGCGATCTTATCATAGCTTTTGATAAGTTCTACTGCCCCATAAGTGGTGATTAAATAATAAGAACCTAGGAAAAAATGAAGAAGCATAAACCTACATTGAGCAATTTTTTATTCCTTTGCTCTTCATGCAGCTTCATACAACATTTCATGCTCTCTCTCTCTCTCTCTCTCTCTCTCTCTCTCTCTCTCTCTCTCT